TCCGAGAGGAAAGGCACCTACGGGGGGCAAGGCAGAGGCACAGCAGGGGCCAGCAGCAAGCGCGCGGCAAAGGTTGGGCGAACATCCGTGCTGCCTGCCAGGCAGCGATCTTGCGCAGCAGCCTGTGCGGGGCGATGCGTGCAACTGGCCGGCGGTTCAACGAATCACGCAGCTTGCTTGGTGTCACCCATGCCTCCCTCGCACCTCTGTTGCCTGCCCCGGCTCCAGCCCCAGCGCAAACAGCCCCCGCAGCATGACAGCAGCGTCCGCGCGTGGCGCCTGCTGCTGCTGCTGCTGCTGCTGCTGCTGCTGCTGCTGCTGCGCCGCGGCCTCGCCTAGGGGCTGCTTGCCCTTGTCGTGCTTGCCGCCAGGCGCACCCTCCGCGCCGGCTGCGTCCGCGGCTGCACCCGCCGCCGGGCGCTGGCTGCTGGCGGGGCCGCCGAAGCCGGCTGCGCCGGCGCTGGGCAGGATCACATGCTGCAGCTCAAAGGAGGAAAGGTCCTGCAGGGCGGCGACCACAGCGTGCTCAGCGTGAGGTGGCACAGCGTCCCAGCCAGCTGGAACAACACCCATCAGCACTGTTCAGCAGCTTCTCAGCAGCTGCTCGGCAGCTGCTAAGCGCAAGACCACTCGCCTGTCCCAGCACCGCCCTCAGGAAGGCCCGCTTCTGGCGCTGCTCGTCGTATCACTCCGCCTGCACCTGTCCCTCCATCCCCTCCATCCCCTCCAGCTCCCTCAACGCGATGCGCCCCACCCCCAGCTGCCCCGCCAGGGGCGCGACCAGCAGCTGCTGGCCCTGCTGCCGCCCCTCCCTGGGCACCATGAGCGGCGTGTAGAAATAGGTGGAACCCTCCAGCTGCACGCCCCCAGGGGGCACCTGCGGCCTGCGGGGCAGCGCAAGTCGGGAAGGCAGGGCAGCACGGCTCGCGGCTGGTGTGCCGCTGGCAACAGCCGGCCCGGCCCGCTGAAGCCCAGCACGAGGCGGGCGGCAGCCAGCCGTAGCGCCCAGGCCGCCGCCTGCCGCCGCCTGCCACCCTAAACCCTGGGTGCCGGCTGGGAGCGGCGGCATGGGGTGCGGCCGCCAGGCAGGCGCTCGCCTGGGCGGGGCGGAGAGGTCAAGCGAGTAGAGTGCCAGCATGCCGCCCTCGCCGCCGGTGGCGATCCAGCGGGCGTCGGGCGACAGCCCAAGGGAGTAGACGGCGCCCAGGGTCTGGAAGCCGCCCATGCGCAGCGCGGCGGGCTGCGCGGGCAGGCAGGCAGGCGGGCGGCCAGGCGGGCACGGGGGCGAGTGGCAGGCGGGTGGGAAGGCAGGAAGGCAGGAAGGCAGGCAGGCAGGCAGGCAGGCAGGCAGGCAGGCAGGCAGGCAGGCAGGCAGGCAGGCAGGCAGGCAGGCAGGCAGGCAGGCAGGAAGGAAGGAAGGAAGGAAGGAAGGAAGGAAGGAAGGAAGGAAGGAAGGAAGGAAGGAAGGAAGGAAGGAAGGAAGGAAGGAATCTCTGCCGGTGCGGCGAAGAGGCGCATGGCGCGGGAGGGCGTATGACAAGCATGAGAGTGCGGCGGGTCCGCAGATGCGGCCGCCTGCCTGAGCAAGCACGGGCCTGCCTGCCCATCCACACCCACACCCCTACGCACGCACACCTGGTTGAGCCCCAGCCGCTCCACGCCGCCGGCCGGCGGCAGCAGCCACGCCGCCACGCCTTGAGGGTCAAAGGTGGCCGCCAACACGCCGCCGCGCTCCGCGCCGGGGGTGCCACGCGGCACGGGCGCCGCCGCCAGCGCGTCTGCCGACTGGAAGTGGTGGGCGCTGTAGCAAGGGAGCGGGACCGCACAGCGTGAGGCAATTGGTACCACGGTACCGCAGAGGGTGAGGCCGCTGCTTGGTAACGCCGGCAGGCAGGGCAAGCAGGCAGGCGTGCGGGTGTCGACCCGTGCCCACGGCGACAGCAGAGGGTGCAAGCAGGCTGCACACGCGGTACGCCTGCTGCCAGCCGCGCCGGCACCGGCGCGCGCAGGCAGGCGGGCGGGTGGCGGGCGGGGCAAGCAGCGCACATGGTGGGCACGGTGTAGGCAGCCCAGTCCGGGCACAGGTGCTGCCATGCCGTCTCGGTAGCCACCTGCTGCACCGCCGCCTGCTCCGCCGCAGCTGCAGGCGGCAGGGCGAGCGGGCAGGCAGGAAGGCAGGCGGGCTGCTCCTCACGGCAAGGCGGGGAGCCGCCGCACACGGTGGCCGCATGCGGAAGTGTGGCCGGCGGGCTGCCGAGGGCGCCTGCTCGGCCTGCCGGCTACTCAGCAGCCTCGTGTCCGACTGTGAGCTAGCGCAGCAGCCAGCCTCCCGCTGCCCAGGCGCCCCCTCCCGCCTTTCTCCAAGCAGCAGCACCCCCCACTGCCCAGGGCGCCTGCTCCCACGTCCTGCATGGCAGCAGCAGCAGCCCGCCGCCAGGCGCTCTCCTCCCCACTCCCCCCACCCCCAGCGGGCAGCAGCCCCTCACTCACGTATCTCCTCAGAGAATTGGGACCCGGCATCGCTCTCATCCGCATCTAGCTCGTCATCCCACTCCTGCACGCAGGGACCCCACACACCCCCACACACGCACACACACGCACACAGCAGTTCACCACACTTGGGACAGAACACAGGAAGAGGCGTCCGGCACATGACAACAGCTGCAAGTGGCGGCGTTCGGGCAATGGGCCCCGGCGCCCAGCCTCTGCAGCACAATGCGGGCCAGCGGGCTAGCTAGCTCCGGCGGCGGCAGCGCGGCGCAGAATGCGTGTCAGCCCCGCCCACGCAGAGTGCGCACCTCCTCCTCGTCCCAGCCCATCCCATCACCATCCTCATCCCCAGACTCGTCCTCTGCAGGAGTGAGCGGCGGGAGAGGTACGACGCGTTCATTGTTGCTGGCCGCAAGCGGAGCTGCAAAGGAGTGGCACAACGTGCTGCCGCCGCGGTGCTGCGAGCGTGCACCCACATGGTGCCCCACCATAAAGTTCCTCCTGCCATTCGCCCCCCTGCTCTTCGTCGCTGAACCAATAGCCTTCATCTGCCGCCACGTGACCCATGAGGGCCTCGATGTCAGGCCCCTCCTGCTCGTCTCCATCGGTCGCCGCCGGCTGGGCGGCGGCAACCGCAGGCGGCGCTTGCCCCGCCCCCGCCCCATTGCGAGGCCCTTCCGGCGGCTGCCCCTGGTTTGCCGGGGCAGTGCCTGGAAGCGACAGGCGGGGCGCCGGTGAGGGAGGCCAGGGTTTGCGCATTCATCTGCGAGCGCGGTGGGGTGCAGCAACCGTGCAACCTGATGGATTACCTGCAGGTCCGACGTCGTCCATGCAGCTGCGCGCGCTAGCCCCTTCACGTTCAGCGGTGGGGAAGATGGCCAGACAGCGGGCAGCGCTGAGCAGGCCTGTGGATGCGCGTGGATGTAAGGA